ATGAATCAATTCAAAAGAGTTTCAGCCTTGTGCCGTATGATGATAGAGATAGGAACCAAGCACTGCTGTATGCTCTAAAGGTGCGTCTAACGCAACGTCAACAATAGTTCCTCATTACAGGGATATGTTGATGGTCTTCAATCGTATTACTGACCTGAGGGCTATTATATCGCAGTAGTGTCGCTGGTATTCAGCAATATTGATATCTCATAAATATCTCCAGAAGTACATTGAAGTGCCTTCCGTTAATAATTTGAATATTGGATAAGCAAATAGGTACAATGCAAGTATATATAAATCGTATATATAATCAAACGTGGATTTCGGTGGTTGACTGCTGTATTTAAATTGCACGGTAGATGGACCTTAATTTTAACATGATTATGTATTTTTTACGCGTATGATTTCATGTTTGCTACATTTGAAACATAAAAGGTCTACATAAAACATCAATGTCGTGGGTAAAATGTGTGCTAGTCGAATGCCAATTTTTTAGTTTTTTAGCAGTTTGAATTAATGACTATCAAAGTGAGTGTAAAACGTTCTATCTATTAATAAGTGAAGCTCATGACCTCATGACCTTCAACAGGAAGTAGTACTATGATTTATTTACTGTTTCAGAAAATAAACGTAGTTCACTGTAAAAATTAATACGATTAAAAAGCCAAATCTTTGTAAAAGATTTGGTCAAATTATACAATAATTTGTAGACCCCCTATCAGCTGGTTAAAAAGCCAAAGTATTAGAGCTTGGTCGAATTTCTATTGATTAGTTGCAATGTATACTAAGAGTTCATTGAAGCTATAACAAAACCAACCAATAACAAACAAAATTGTTTGCTTTTCTTGGATTGTTATTAATGTATTGTGATTTGATTATTGATGTATTTGGATATATCATGTAAGCATAAGAACTCCGGGCCGTTATTAGAAAGATAGTTAATAGTTATGATGTTATAAGTGTAAAATGTCACGACTTTTGTGTAACTTCACTTCAAAAGTTATAGTATTTTATACGCATGATTTCATAACTTCTTGATCTTTCTTATACCGGCCTCACGGTCAATATGTACGTGTCGCAACCTTTTATCAGTGCCTGTATTTTCATCACTATGGTGGCTGTATGTCATGCCTGATGACAATGCTTATATGTAAATGAGACCATTCTACATTCGATTACCTATACACATGATTTTTAAGCGTTTATTCTATAAAAGGGTGGAGGTTTCACGTGTTCAACAGAAGTACGTTGAAAACATGATATATATACATATACGTACATATATATTATGCACAATGCAGGACATTTGCGGTGTACGTCTGCCAAATTTTCTTGGAACACTTGCTGGAAAAAATACGGTAATTCCGCGAGCCCGTGCTCTGGAATGAACTAGTTAGTACTGTATAGCAGAATTAATTTTCAGGGAGTCACACGGGCTCCTGCATATGTCAAATCAGGCAGTTCGACAGTAAATCAGAGAGTATTTGACTCAATCCGGACTCGCGTTAATTTTGCACCCTGCATTGGGCTTCATACACTACATACACTATATAATACACTGTATACAGTGGGGAATCTGGGGGTGTGCGAGCTGCGAGCTGCGAGCTGGAAAAAACACAATGCGTCCAAGCGAACAATGCGATTCAAACAATCCGTCTGCGACAGCCAGCTCGCGCATTCCCTAGACCGTACACCGCGCCATCTGCATTTCTGATGACGACTTACAGATAGGAAATTACTGTTGTTTGTATTATATGGACCTGTCTGAGATCTGTCTTGTACATAATGACGACTTATAAATGTCGACTTGGGCGGGGCTATTCCATTGGATTTACTATTAGAGCGAATCGGGACTTAGACGATGACGACTTATGCGAGTTTTACTGTACTAGTTAATAAAATACTTTATTAAAGTAGTAGGTATTCTTCTTCTTCTTCTCGGGTCACTACACTACACTCGGCCCAGCCACTGCAGCACACAGGACTTGGCACGGTGGTTGAAAGCCTCAAGGTCTCCAGGGCTACAGGGCTCTGGCAATAAGGGGCATTTCAGGAGATGTCCCATAGTCTGGTCCTCCCCGCAGTCGCATTCGATTGGACCATCTTCAGTGTATCCCAATTTCTGCATGAGTGCCCTACATCGACCAAAACCTGTCCTGAGGCGATTTAGGCACAACCACGTCGGCCATACCTCGTTGGCTCCGGGCGGGAGGGCTTCCTGGGGTCTGAGTGAAAGCTCATGTTAGCTTGCCTGAAGATGCTTTGACCATTGGGCGATCCTGTAGTTTTGGAGGTTGCCATCCAGGGGTTGAACCGCGTGGATGAAACTGTGCCTGGACTTTAGTCTCTTCTTTACTGTTTCATGCTGGAAGAGGGGGTGGCGAGGGTCATTTTCTTGGTTAAGTTTCTCTACTTGGGATGAAGCCATTCGTCTAACGTGTGGGGGAGTGTACAGGGCACGCATACTCAGCCGCAGAGTAGCACAGGGCGATAGCAGTGGTTCTGATTGTCCCGGCGTCTGTTCCCCATTTAGTATTGGCCAACTTCTTTAGAATACTGTTTCTGGCACCCACTTTGGCCTTTGTCTTGATGATGTGATTCTTGTAGTAGGTAAAGTTGGACTTGTAACCCTGATCTGTAAATGAGACTGTGTAAACAGTCGGTTACGAGCCTGACATTGTGGTTTATGCTCAGTCGCGTAGGCCTCATTGTCGGTAACTGTGCGTGTTTACTGCAGAATATATAGAAGTCCGTTTACTCAGTGTGATTTGTTTACCTGTACTTGAAATGTAATACTAATCATGAAAAATAAAGAGTACCGTATTATACTCGACAACAGTGTAACTGTATACTGTGCGTGTCTCGACCCTTGTACCCCCTTTACTCCTGTTCTGCTCCCAGCATCCAACTCTCGCGTCCCGGTCTTGCATGATCCCGCTGCAGCAGTCCCACTTCCATGATGTAGTGGGAGAGAAGGGGCTACCCGGGTACATAATGACCCCGGTAACAGGGCTGCTAACTCTCACGCATTTAGCATGAGACTCACGCAATTGAGGCTAATCTCACGCTCTCACTCCGGGTCTGCTAATTCTCACGCATACAGAAACAAACAGATAAAAAACCGAAGTATACACTATATAGAGCATTTCAATTCGCTGAACGGTTCTAGATCTCGTCCTTACTTGCCAATGAGAACAGTTTTATGTAAGTGAATTTCGCATAAGAAGCTGAAGAAGCAACTATATATGGCAGATTATAAGAAAAATAAAGGACTGAGCAGTAGAGGTCATATATGACTATATAAATACAATTCCATTTCCAAGCAGGATCTAGTGATGTGTTGTTTTGAACCGTCCATACATATGTGTTTGTACATGTACGTAATCCATCTAAACATAACACGGTGTAGTGTATTGCATTACATACATGTGTAGGCAAGGTGCGAAATTAACGGGAGTCCGGAGTCAAATACTCCCTAATTTACTGTCGGACTCCCTGATTTGACATATGCAGGAGTCCGTGTGATTCCCTGAAAATTCTGCAATACTAACTAGTTTGTTCCGGAGCACGGCCTCGCGGAATTACTGTATTTGTTCAGCTAATGTCCAAAGAAAATTTGCCAGACGTGCAACTGCATGAATCTTAAAAATAAGCACATGCGTTATTGTTAATATATTTAATTTTGAACCTCAGACTGCGGACTCCCTTATTTTGCTGCGGACTCCCTCTTTTTGAGGGTAGGGAGTCCGTTGAACTCCCTTGTTCAAAAGTAAAGTTCTACCCCTGTGTAGGCCTATGTTTAAAAAAAAAACTCACTTAAGTATGCACCAGAAATTGAATCCACAATTTCAAGCTGAAAAATGCAAAAGCTCCCTGGTGTGGGAGGTGGTTGCCCCCTCCCACACCCTCCTCCCGCTCAGTCGCCCAGCTGCAGCTCCCTGACATAATCTCACTCACAACTCTAACTCAATGCTGGCAGCCCTGCGTGTAGAAGAATGTATAGCGTGCAGAAGTACTATAGTTGTGTGGTGGCTCGACCAGGCTCTACGACTATTTCATGTCGTAAGACTGTTTCTCACCACGTAGTGAAAAGCGTTGTAGCTAATGGCAATTAGCATATGGCTGAAACACACCGTACTTGTGTCCCGAACGGACACTTTGGCAAGTTTACTGTCAAGTTGGTCGGCATAATGTAACGCGAAGACAGTTATCCTGCTGTTCAATGTTCTTTCTGTCTCTGTCGATGACCAAGTTATCCACAAATTGCACCAGTAATATTCGTTTTGGAAATTTTCGGCAGAACATGACATTTGGCAAACATTTTGTAATATGAAGCGAATTCTCATTAACAATGAATAACGAACGTGTCGAATTTAGGTATTGTGAGCATATCCCTAAAGATCACAAATGAAAGATTACCTGTTTTCTGTGCTCTTTGGCAGGAAAAAATGCACCGAATCTAGTGAAGAAACCCAAGTTGTTCATTCTTCAAGCGTGTCGTGGAGGTATGACGTATATAGGAATGCATGCTGAGTCGCTTGCACATGTACATGCAATATTACCTATAGTATTGACAAATGACCGTCTAAAAAGGTCAATTTGTGATAGCTTTATTTTGTAGATGTTGTCCTAGTTTCATAGTTCTAGTGCCATATTTATTAATATACTCTCTAATATGTTAATTTTTCCAAACATGACAATTTCACATTCATGTATTAGGTTCTCAATTGCTTTATGGTTGCTAATAAAAACAATTTAAAATTTGGCGAATGATATAAAAAATAAATTACCTACTAGTATATAAGTAAAGGTCTGTAGTGCCTATTATAAATATGAATAAAGCAGCATTTGTTTATTTTTCTTGCTCTGGGTCTTCCTTTATAACAGTTGGCTCATGAATATATATATATATGAGTGAACGCTGCAATTATTGTGACTTTAAAAGCTCTGTGTATGTGCATGGTAAGATTGAACACTTGCGTGGTTTGTATTTTATTTAGACGGTACGAATGAAGGAATTTGCCCAAGCACCCAACCGAGGGATGTGCATGGAGGCAATGATCAGCCGCAAGAGTGGATGGAAAATGTGGTTGCAGACGCACCACCCCCTGTATTACCCTTACATATTCAGCCTGACTCTAGTAAACAACGCAAAACAGAAAAAAAGACAAAACGGATACCAAACTTGAGTGATTATATAGTATTTCGTCCAACAACTCCAGGTAAGTTTCTAATTAAAATAACCATAAGTAAATAGTGTTCACCTCTGCACAATTAGGAGAAGGAGATCAGGAGCCATTCACAAATATCAATGTCATCATAAGCATACAACCCGTTCTCTAATGGAGGAAGGGGTCCTCAGTCCTTGTACACTCTACGTGTAAATAAATCTTGAGTTTACCTTATTGAAAAGCATTCTCTGCTTCAGAAGTCCACAGAAAAGGTGTGTCCTTATGGGTAAGCTGTGTAAGTGGTCTAGCTATTTTAGCATTTTAGCAATGTAATAGGTACATTATGCGTGTCGCCTTGTTGGCTGGTCTTATTACGTCAGGTGTATTCAGGCAATCGTTTCTCCTCATTCCCACGTTCACTTTCTCCTTTTCATGTCCCGGTTGCCACCCTTTCTTGTCTGAGAACGAGTCTCCTCGCCCTTATGGACGTTGCTAATGATTTTTGCAATGCCTGCATGATTACCAACCGTTCCCTTGCCCTACTCTGTCGACCCTGCATTTCTATTGTCTATTAATGTAGTCCGATGCCTTATGTCTCTATGCCTATGATGAAACGCCGTATTACACTACATTCTGTGGGTTTGATGCCAACTGTCTGATGTTGTTAGGGCTCTCCTGTTTCGGTCCACATAGTAATAATTGAATCTCCACTAATCAGTATTTCGGCACCTACGAAATTCTAGCAAAAGCTGTGGCCAATCTCAAGATGAAGATGGTTGTGTGGCGTTATTTTACTGCCGCGCTGTAGTGTAGTAGAAAAGTAAACTGGTAGATTACCCAATTTTCTGAGATATACCCATCCTATTAAAAGGCTTCTCTTAATTTGTCTTTATGTTCACAACGTCACAGGTCATTTCATGTAGAAACTGGCAAGGCATTGTTACATTTACACAGTCTTCTGTCTGCACTACCATTATACAACTATGAATGGGAAATGTAACGTATACATGCAAATTTGCGGGGGCTCTTTTTGGCATTTCTGGGGCTCTTTTTGGCATTTCGGGGGCTAAATCGCCCCGAGCCCCTGTGTATTTTTTTCACTAACGGTGGATCATAGCAACCAACGTGAATATGTAATACACATCACAGAAAGATCATGGGCCTTGTATCCTTGAACCGTTGTTATTGAACTTCATCACATAAAAAACATAATACTTTTTATGTTTGATCGCAGGTGTAATAGCAGTGCGAGACCCAGATAAAGGTTCTTGGTTCATCAATGTTCTGGCTGAGGTGTTTGCGGCAGAAGCATACTGGAGTAACCTGGATGACCTTACTCACAAGGTTTACAATTATTAGCTCATCTGACGAAGTATGATGCAGCTTGTAGAATCGCATGAGCGTCCGTCCGTGATCCGTGTGTCCGTGTGTCTGTCAACAGTTGGGCACAAATCTTAACCGCTCGACGTACGTTCACGATATTGGGGACGTCGGGGGGATCGTGAAAAGGACTCGGGATGACCAATTTGGAGGTCAAAAGGCAAGATGTGTCAACGGAGGGGGAATATTTCCCCCTTAAGTTAAGATATAGGAGGAAATACGGAATTGCGGCACAAATCTGAACGGCTCGACCTATGCTCTTAATATTCGGTGTATAGTGTGATGGGCAGGAAACCCATCACCAGTGCGAAATTTGAGGTCACAGGTCAAAGGGCATTTTTTGAGGACATGGCCGGCTAATGGACAGAGTGGAAAACTTTTTTGTTTCAGCGCTGACCTACCATTTTTATCACTTTAGTGAGAGGACCATGAAATATGCTTTCCACTG